TCAGAAAAAGAAGGAAAGTAAAATATCATGCTTTTTTTTTGGTTTCTATGCATGCGACAAGACAGGCATGCTTTTTTTTTTTAAACTTGCCTTGCTGTTTAGAAAGATTTGCCCTTCAAACTATGAAAACACCTCATCTGTATTGGTGTCACATTACTGACCCAAGCCTTTCTCATTTCACGAAGAGGGGAAGGAGTGACAATGCTGAAAGAGCAGACAGGGACAAAGAGGGCTTGTAGCACTGGGATAGCAACATGCACAGACAGCTGGGCAACTCGTTTTATTCCGCCCTTCATTGGGCTTTGAACAAAATACGCCAAATCATCCAGTGTTAACAACTCCTCCTGCTCACTTACTGATCGGTCTGTTTTCTTAAAAATCATCACAAATTAAGTGCCCCCATAATCTTACAACTCTAACTTTTTATTTGAGCCATTTAATCTCATGCTCCAAAGTATGTTACTCTGTATAAAGTTCATGTGGTCAGGTGGTTCCTTATGATCATCATAGTGAGGAAACTTCAGGTTTTCATAAAACAGCCTATCTATCACTTCTTAATGAGAATTATATGATAGCCTTTGCAAAAAAACAACAATACCATAGACCTCGTGTGAATTGGGGACGTGATTTTTCACTTGACTTATCAGCAGTGATAATGACATTTTACCCACTCACTCTCATTTTTTCACCTGATACTTAATAAACAAAAATATGCATTGGCCAAAAATTACCCAGAGGCTTAGAGTGGCCCCTGGAGGTTGAGAAGTCCAAGATCAAGGTGCCAGCAGATCCAGTGTCTGGTAAGGGCCTTTCACATGGCAGAGGGAGAGGGAGCAAGCTCTCTCATGCCTCTTCTTATAAGGGCACTAGTGCCATTCACGAGGGCTCTAACCTCATTACCTAATTATTTCCCAAAGACCCACCTCCTAAAACCATCACACTCAGGATTAGGTTTCAGCATATGAATTGGGTGGGGGAAGGCATAAGCATTCATCCCATAGCATCTATACTGTCAATAACATCAATTATATAGGGTTTTCAGAAAAGACTGCTGAATGTTAGTCAATATACTTTTTATAAAAACTTTTAATTATTACAGACATATGTCTGAAGTACACACACAACTATATCTGCATCTACATATAATTGATTAGATAATCTGTATACACACACACTTGTGCATGACTGCTTAAATCAGGCAAATTTCAAGAGTAGAACTCACACATATAATCATATACAAATCATTTCTCAAAAAAATGTTTAACAACCCAGCCATTAAATTCCCCCTCTTTGATCACTTTCTGTGGCTCCCATTCAAACAGCAATTAGGAGTTGAGCTAGCTTGGCAGCTAAGAGGAAGGACTCACATTCTGAATGCAAGAGGAGGAATGGACTGAGGTATGGGCTGGTATGCTCTACAAGGTAGAGTTCAGGGATGACATAGGCTTCTACTAAGAATTATTTGTTACATAGTCAATTCTGTACATTTTAAACCCTGACATGTTTATTTCTTTTTCTTGAAGGATCATCTTTATTAATGGAGACCTCTGTTCTCACATATGAAGACACAAGTGTTCTTAATTCAGGGCTTGATGCCTTTCCTCCCACTTATTTCCTGTCTGAACCAGATCATTCCAATCATTCATTCTGCTTGAAAGCTCCTGAGTGCTCGCTGTGTGCTGGGGATGAGTCTAAGTGCAGAGGTGGGACAGTTATCAAGACAGGTAGGGTCTCTTTTATGGAGTGGTGGTGGGTGACAGATGGGAGAAGAAATGAAAGTCAATAAGGCAATAAACAAGGAAACAAGCAACGTAATTTCAGGCGAATATACGTACTAAGAAGAGGTTAAACATGCTTCTCTCCACATCCTGCCCCTGCTTCCTCAGGCCCGCCTGATCACCCGTCAGGTTTCTCACAACCCCTTCCCTCAATCCTGAAAAAGCCATTTCCTCCTTTTGTGGGCCCACTGATCTCATCTCCAATCCTATCTTGTCACTTTATTACATTTGTTTACGTGTCTTAACTTTCCCCAAAAGACTTTAAGCCCCTGTAGAGTAAAAGTCAGACTTTTTTCCCCCATAATGATTTTGTAGTTGTAATTCCTGGCACAGATATTGGCTTTGCTTACCGTATAACATTATCAAAAAGGTAACTGAACAAATATGTTGGAGAAATAAAGAAGCCACGAATAGTAGGCTGGCACTGCACAACTTAAGGCTTAGTAGGAATCACTATGCTGATGGGATCACAATTTCCTCTAAAGAGTTTATGATACTCTCATTAAAGCCGTGTTCTATTGCTTAATCTAATAGCTTTCACTCAGTGTACCAATTTTTTTTTAAAGTTGCAATTTAGGATTCATACTACTAAAGTGATGTCTGTCAGAAATGTAATAGAGCTTTTATTATGGTTCTTCTGAACAGGTATATAGTAAGAGTTAAAAGGCAAACCCAGGTTCGCCAGAGAAAATTATCTTCTATTTCCCAGAATCCAGAGAACTTACTTCCAGAGAGAGTTAGAGCAGCTAATTGTAATACCCAGATAGCAACACAGTACTGACAAGTGACAAAATAATTTGAGGCTGCCTTCCAGTATCCAAAAACACACTGTGACCCTACAATGGCTTTGGGTCATCTCTCTGAAGGCTCTAACCAGCTCAGGTCTTCATTCAGTGCCTCCCAGGGAACTACCAGTTCTAAGGTAGGCAGAGGAAAAACTCTGAAATAGTAAAGAGCTTCTTTATTTTTATTTTATTTAATTTTAATTTTAATTTTATTTTATTGCAATAACAAAGGGCATCTTAGGTGATTAGGACTCATCTGCATGATAATAGATATAGTAGGACCAGACTGCAAACCCACAGAACCGATTGCTTTGAAAGTTAATGAGAAAAATGCCTTTTATTGTTGCCAAAGCGGTCATAGAAGAACCATAATAAAAGCTCTATTACTCATTAGATATCACACTTGGCTTTTATTAAGAGTTACACCTAAAAAATGTTACTTATCAGGAGGCCAGCCTGTCTCTACAGGTCTGATGTGCCCTGCACATTCCCTACTGATTTTCCTCCAGCACAGGCAGTTCTAGGAACATGGCTTCACTGCTGAGTCTTTTCTTTCACCTTCAAAGACAGGATCTGACAGAGCCCAGGACAATCACAAATCCAATGGAGTATACAAGAAGCCTAAGGTCTCCTAGAGAGTAACTAACAAACATCTGCTGTATTTCCTGTCCACAAGCTTGTTTTTTTTAGTTAAGCTTAGGAAGGAAATAGCAAAAAGTATTTTTCTTTTTTTTTTTGCTAATGAAAACTCTGAACCAAAAAGATGCTGAATTAGTGAATTTCAGACAGAAGAAACATTATTAGGGATATAGCAGTGGGCTTTTCCTGAATTGCTATCTGTGGTCTTCTCATCAAAGGATAGAAAATAGTTGACACAGATTAGAAGAAGAGGAAATTTGGATTAATAGGTGAGTCCTGTTCTATCATTATGGTACTCATTGTTTCTAACATTAAAAATACTGCTAATTGAGCACATGCCATGTGTCAGCCAGTATACTTGGAGTTTCATGTAATTATGTGATTTCATTTTCCCAATAACAGTATGTAGTATCAACATTCCATTTTCACAGATAGGGAAACTGGAGCTCAGAAATCTTGAGTAATTAGTTCAAAGTCTTATAGGTAATAACTTGAAGGGACAGAATTAGAAACCAATGAGTATGACTTTAAAATTTGCCTTCTTCCCAACGTACCCATTGCATTGACAATAATTAATTTCGAAGATCAAATGACACTCCTTCCACATTTTGAAAAATATTGTTTAAGAATAAGACTTTACTCTGCATTTTGCTCCTGAGCTATCATGCCTTTTTAAAAGCACTAACTCAGGGTAAGAATCTTTAAAGATTTAATTTAAATGCTTTTAACTTAATTAATTTGCATAACCAAGTGCAAGCGTGTTTTTGATGGAAGAGACCAGCGAAGTGCAAGCTTGTCCCATTGGTCATTCTAGCCTCATTACAGTTTTTCAGTCCAGAACGGTGCTGGTGGTGGGATTATGAGAGCTCAAACACACCATGTGGTCAAAGAGGAGAAACAGGTTCTGGGGATCACAAAACAGGTAGGCAGTGGATACTTAAAACATTTGCGCAATACAGACATCAAAATTAAGATTTCTGGAACAAGTGACCTTCAAGAGAAAGGGAGGGAAAAAAGAAAGGGTAGATGGGGTTGGGGGGATAGGGGAATTCAAGGCCTGAAGCAAAGGACATATTTTAATAACTGTGTCAAATTATCTCATGGCCAGCGAAAAATAAACTGAAGCTATTTCCTCAAAAGTCATTCAATCCAAGCATGCTAAATATCTCTTACCCTGTTTGGATGTTGTTCCATTCACTCTGAAGAAATGAACACCTAGGTGATTTCCAACAAATCCTGTTATACCATCCTGCTGACAACAGTCTTTATTTTTTAAAGACCTGATTGTAGTTTCATGCCCCTGTTTAATCACTGTTCAGTGCAGTTACCTAGAGAGATCTCCTGGTGTGACATCTCACACCTATCTATTGAGATAAACTCTCTCCTGTAGCTTTCTAAATTATTTGCTTTCTAGTGCTTTCCACTCCTTAAGCTGGGTGAAGGAGGGGGAAGGAAGCAGAAAAACATATTNTTATTTGCTTTCTAGTGCTTTCCACTCCTTAAGCTGGGTGAAGGAGGGGGAAGGAAGCAGAAAAACATATTTCTCTCATCGGGAAAAGAAAAACAGTATTACGAATAATTCAGAAGTGGCTTTTGAACCACTGAAGTACGTCATCACTTGTCCCAATAATTTATGAATTACATTTACTTTCATTTAATTTTTTTTCTTCTTTCCCTCTTAGAGAGGAGGTAATATTCGACTTTCTCTCTGCCTTAAGTGTTTTCTTTGCAAATGGAAGAGTAGGAGAAAAAAAGCTGGGAGGGCAGTAGCCTGGGACAGTTGATTTCTTTTGGTTACCTTGTAGTTTCTGGTTGTACTCGGTCCTGTCGGACTGGCTCCTCCTCAAGGTACCCGAGTGGTCCCCACAAACACTGCTCTCAACCACAGTGTCAGTCTTCCTCCTCTCCAGCATATAGAGCCGGGGCCTCAAGAAGGTCAGATTCTTTTTCTTGGTGCCCATGTTTTCTTTCCCAGTGACTTCTTCGGGCTCCATCTGAGGCAAAGACAAGCCTTAGAGGCTTGTAGGCAATGGCTGGCTGCTAGAGTGCCTCAGGGCGAGGGTTAAAGACACCAGAGTGACAAGTTTAGCTGCCAGCTTCTAAGTAACCCGCTTCGCTGCACTCCAGGGTTACCTGGCTGTAACTGCCACCTGTACGGAGTCCCAGAGCCCCACCCCGATGAAGTCATTCCCTTTTAGACCTAGAATCCAACAGGGGAAGTTGCCACCTGTTACCTGAGAGACCTGCAGCACAGAGCTAGGCAAAGCAGCGACTGGGCTGTCACATGCTCCTGAGGCAAACAAAAATCCCATTGTGTGGCAGAGGGCTGGGGGTGGCGGGAGGAGGGGACAGGGCGAGGCGGGAGGAAGGGAAGGGCCTGAGTGTCGCCTGCAGCCCACAGGTGCGCCCGGGCCCCGCGGTGCGCCCCGGAGGGCCTGTGGGCCTGTGTGTGACCTTCAGCTAGAGCCGCTCACTTGCGACCGTGGAGTCAGTGTGAGGCTGAGAATTTGCATTTTCATCACAACAGTATCATTTTCAGGATCACTGAGCACAGTGGGTCCTGAACATCCGGAGATTATTTACTAAAAAACATACCAGCCAAACCCCCTGATCCGCATTCCTGAGGAAAGGAGGATTTGAACTTGAGAGAGGCCTGTCGCGGGCACAGGAAGGCAAGAGGATGTCCTTAGAGGCCGCGGGAGGCTTTGCCATTTCTCTTTCCCGCCGCTGCCCCCGCCCGAAATCATTCCATCCCTGGTCCCAGCCCTGTCCCTCTGCGCCCTGGTCCTTAGGAACACAAGCGCCGTGTCAAGGTGTGATTTCTGTATGGCCTTTTCCCGGTCCCTTTTGCGGACGGAGTGACAAAAAAGGCAGCTCACCTTGGGAAAATAAGAACATGTTTGAAACTGGGAAGAGACATGTGGAAAGTAGAAAGGATGGGGGGCAAGGACTGGGAGAGAGGTACATGGTGATGGGCCTTTCGGTAAATTTTTTAGAGTTGTTTTTCCTTGTACTCGCCGGGATTTCTCAAGGGGGAGGTGCTGAGATGCTCTGGGGATGCGCAGAGTGGTTTGTATGCCCTCGTTAAAGAAAGGAAGGACCCTAAGGAGGAAAACAGGTTCCCTCTTTCTTGAAAAGGGGTGGCCAAAATTCAGCTTTGTGCTGCCCAGGATGCGTGGGCTGAATACAATTCACATAATTGTCTTAAAAGATAAATGAGAAATCTTCACCCACTACAGAAACATCTATATGTAGCCTGGCATATTGAATGGCTTTTATTTTATTCAGTTGATAGTCTTATTAAAACAAGCCGTTCCAAGTACATTTAATAAATGCTTTTAAAGGCACATTTACCACTAAGATGTACAATGAGCTTCTCTGAGTCATTTTTTAAATGTCTAAATTGTATTCTGATGTTATATGTACATGTAGGTATATGTTTGTGTGTATTCGCCTGGTTATTAACAGATATATACTATTAGACATAGTACTACTACAAAATTTTACAATTAAAACTACAGGACTGCCCTGGCTGGGTGCCTCAGTTGGTTGGAGCGTCTTCCAGTACACCAAAAGGTCACGGGTTTGATTCCCCATCAGGCCACATACCTGGGTTTTGGGTCGGATCCCCTGGAGGAGACCGATTGATGTTTTTCTCTCTCCCTTCCTCTCTCTCTAAAGTCATTAAACATACCCTAGGGTGAGGATTTTAAAACAACAATAACAAAAGCTACAGGATTTATAGGAAATATGGGATTAGACACAGCACTCAAAAACTTTGTCAGTGACCCATAAAAAACAGATAGAAAACTTAAAAAAAAAAAATGGTAGCACAGCTTTACATGTGATAAATGGTTAAGAAATACATAAATATTACAATAAATATGAAACTTTACCTTGAAAAAGCACTGAAGGTTCAATAAAGTAAAATAAAAGAACTGGAGGTTCCTTATAGAAATCATAACTTATGGGTGAAGTGATAGAAGAAGGGAGATTTGAAATCAGGTGGACATGTAGACTGCCAGCAGTGGACAGGTGAGGCTGGGACCACAGACAGTAAACTGAAGTGGTTGGTCATGTTGAGGGGTGTGCATGCGTGAGTTTTGTGAACTCCTTTGTGGCTCAGAGCATCTGGACAGTTTTCTGCATTCATGTAGTGTTTCAAGTGGATGAAATCACATAAGCAAATGTGAAAATGTATTATGCTCAAACAGTTCCTTTTTGTTGGAACAAATTTGTGTTTTCAAAATAAGCATTATAGAAGAACTGACTGTAGCAGCTTTATTATATTTTTAAATTTCATTATTTAGGAAGATACATAGAGTGGCTATTATGAATTCAGTAGTAAACCTCTTTTTATCTACTCACAATAATTTCTATGTCAACTTTAAAAATAATAGATAAATTCTTTTAAAACTATTTTTTAATCAATCAATAAATGGGATGGTCACTGTTAGTTGCTTTCTCAATATTCATTCCTACAACCTCCTACCTCCATGCTATTCTTTGCCAATAGAACACTTATTTTGTTCAAGGCAGCATTAAGCTTGGGCAATTATAATGATGACTTTATTTTCAATTTTTCCAGCTTCTCTTGCCACTAGGGTATCCATGTAATCCCAGCTCTGGCAAATGAGACCCTATGGTAGTCTGTTATAATGGGGGGTGGGGTATTGATTCTGGGAAAGCTTTTGCTTCTCTAATAAAAAGTGTAGTAATAGCTTGGACCTTCCCCCTTTGTCTAGACTTGATCACAAGTATAATGCATAGAGCAGTTACAGCCACTCTGGGCCCATAAGAAAGGATCAAGAGAAGCATGAACTCTGATACCACTGAGCTACTAAACTAATACCAGCAGCCACCCACTTTTAGACTTCTTGATATGAGAGTAAAATAAACATCTCTTCCTAAGGCCATTGTTAGGCAGAGTTCTTGTTGTCAATATATTTCTAAAGAATTTAACAGACAGTGCTTTATATATATATATGTGTGTGTGTGTGTGTGTGTGTGTGTACATATATATACACAGAAATTCACAGTTCTCTTGCTTATCTCTTGGCACTTTTAAAAATGTATTGATTGATTTGAGAGAGAGAGTGTGTGCGTGAGAGAGAAACATTGATTTGTTGTTCCACTTATTTATGTATTCATTGTTGATTCTTGTATGTTCCCGGACTAGGAATGGAACCCATAACGTTAGTGTATGGGGAAGACACTCTAACCAACTGAACTACCCTACCAGGGCCTCTCTCTGACACTTTTTAGTCCAATGTGTTTAGAATCACCAGCAAAGAATAAGAACAGACAGGTTAGAGAGATTTTGTCACTGAGGCATCTTGCCAGAACAGAAGTGAAACTGGATGAACAAGGCCTCTGATTTGTCTGTTTTATATTTTATTTCAGAGTACAAAAGGCTCTCCATACAAGGATTCCATATTACTTAAATAGATAAAATATTGATATTAAGACATTTAAATTAATTCTATTATGATTAGAGAACAAGCAGTTCCTGGTTCATTCTTTTAAAAAGACCCAGTTTTATCTTTGGGTGTGATGTAAATCACCTTGATGACATATGACATAATCTCTAGGTCCCAATTTCTTCATCTGTAAAGTGTAAGGATGAGTTAGTCACTTGTACTCACTGAATATTTTCTGCTCTCCATTTAGGCAAATGGGAGTTTCACTGCCCTGCACCATTTCAATCTATGTGTGGTCATATAATTTGCTTTGGCCAAAGAAACTGATTAAACATGATATCTGTCACTTCTAAGAAAGTGTTAAGGACCGGTGTTTGCTTAGCTATAGCTTTCTCTCCTTCATCCTTGGTGACTGGAACAGTTCCACAGTGGTTCCTTCATCAGGATGAATTGTAGAGAGTGCCTGACTCAGATTGGAGCTCCCAGCCACCCCATAATGGTTGTACAGTTTGAGAAGAAAGAATTCTTTGCTGCTTTAAGCCCCTTAAGATTTGGGGCTTTTAAAAATTATTAATACTTCAACATAACCTAGGCTATCCTGATTAATGTAGGATATAGATTAAATAATATATAAATCTTTTTCAAGTCTAGCATTATATGATTTCAGGATTCCAGGACTCCCGGTGCTATGAGATTGTAAAAATGCTAATTTCAAAAGAGAAATCACATCTCTTGAAGAGTCATGAACAAACTGGATTGGAGGAAGGAAAAGACCTCATTATAAGTTAGAAACTCACAGGAGTTTAGACAAGAAATGCTTGGACTAGGCTAGTGGTGATATGGGTGGAGAAAAGTTGAACTAACATTTTGAAAAAGTTGAACTAACAAAACTTTTGTATGTTTTGACAGAGGTGAATGAGTAAAAAGAGGAAGAAAGGACAAACTTCAGGTTTTAAGACTGAATAAATGGGAGGACATGTGTCCTGTATGCTAATAGAGGAAGAAAGGACAAGAGGAAGAGGAAGCCTGGTGGGGTTTTCAAAAATTCCACTTAGGACATATGAAGGTTCAGGTGCCTGTAAGATATTCAAGGGAATTATCAAGTAGGCTTTGCATTGATAAATTTGGAGTCGCTATTTAGATTTTAGATAAAGAATTGGGAGTCATCAGAATATACATAATATTTAAAGCCGTGGGTTGCTGAGACCATTTAGGAAGATAATATATCTAGAAGAGAGGAACCAAAGCCAACCCTGAAGAACTCTAAGCTTAGGGTGGATGGAGTTGGAGCAAAGCCAGCCATCGATTGCAGTGGGAAAGCAAGAGCCCACGGTGCCACACAAGTCTGGGCACAAGGCTTTCAAAATGAAGGTGTAGTCAGTCTGCTGAGATACCCAACAAAATGGAAACAGAAACTAATTCTTTTAATTTGGCACAATGTTGGTCATTTATAAACCTTTCTAAAGGAGTTTCAGCAAAGCGGCAGAGATATATACCAGCATGGAAGGGATTTCATTAAATAAAGGAGCTAAGAAAGTTGAAACATGTGGGAATAACACTTCAGAGAACATTTG